CAGTTCTGGTGGCCAGTCTTAATTTGCTTAGCTAGAAGCATTTGCCGAAAAAACCGGTGCCGGTAGAAACAAAAACTGCGGAGAAATCCTATTGGAAGTCAGGTTACCATCTCACAAATCCTCAAGGTCCCGCACCCAATACTAAGCACTCAAAACTGCACTTTATGCCGGTAGTTCAGATAGTATACCTCACAGCTAATCGTCCAGATTTATGCGTTTTTGCGCTCCTGTGCTGATCCCTTGGTGTTTAATCCGTCTGCACGTTGTGCGTTTTCCCTAAAGCGGATGGAGAAACGAGCCAGAAATCATGGTATAGAAACTTTGAACTTTTCTTTGGTTACAGGGCTGTAAGTAAATCAGCAATGTAGTTTCGGATTTCACGTGTCCTCATGTACATTGCAGCTGAACTTACTTCCCTGGGACCACAGACAGGCAGAAAGCATCCTAAAATTTTCTGGCTTTTTCTTGGGGGAAAACGGGAAAAATTTGTAGAAAAGACTTCGCATCTCTCATCAAAACTTTCAACGAGCTAACTTTGAAATCTTTAGATTGCACATGGACATAAAGCATCCACCTGAAATTTCCGCTCCCCAGCTTTTTTTGGCTTCCAAGCCAAACACAATTTCACACTACTAAATAACACATCATTCGTTTATTCCAGCGTTGTTACTGAAGTCTAGAATGTGTCCTAGTAATCCACTGTCCCTGGAGTTTAAGAAGTTTGTAAACTGACAACGCAATCTTTCGAGGATCTCATCTTCTACTTACCAGACACATGCTAAGTAGTAACATCGATTGCTTGAGGTCAAACGATTACGTAGGTGGAGCGCTTCTTCACCTCCGAAATCGGAAGGCGTGCTGTCGCTGCCAGTAATCATAGCCATTACGTTGTGCTTATTCGAGCAGTAGTAATACACCCAAAATTGATTGCTTGGTGAAGTACTGCATCAACTTCAAGGAAAGCCAGTGGTAGAGGCCCATTTACGAAACGTTTGAAGTGCAGATCGTGGCAATCAAACGAGCGAGTGAAAAGAACTTTAGAAAGAGTTCTCGGAAATGTGTGTGTCAACGGCAGATTTGCCAGCTGGTTGTTGCTGTCAAAATGCTAGCACTAGAACCTGCTCACTGGCTCTGAACACTTTTTCCACATACAAAATAGAAATTTTCACATGTCTCAAAGTTCCAAATCTCAAAAAACAATTTAATTAAAAAGCAATAAAAAAAAAAAACGAAGTAGAAAAGTAATGAACAGATGGGAAAAATAGCTCGTAGCAAAAATGCGATTGACAACAACAGAAATGAAGTTTTTCATTTCTCATTAGAAATCCTAGAAACTAAATCCTAGCATTCCTAAACAAACTAATGAAAATTTATAAAGTAAAAAATTTCAAGAAAACAAAGATGGCAATAAATTCAGGCTTTTCCTCGAAAAAAAAAATTAAATCTCTCTGAGCACTGAATAACTCAGCTCGAAAATAATATGTTGCGCCCCGCCCAAAATGAAAATTACTCAAATTCATTGATTCGCGATTAACAAAACAATCATCAACTGCTGTACATAGAAACAATAGTATCGTCCTGTGACAATATTTAAGTTGAAAAGAGCTTACTAGGGAATAACGAAAAGCGATGTCAACAATGCAATATGGTATCAAAATCAACGTTGCACTCATGGGTTAAACAAAAAATTCGAAATTTTTTACCCCACCATTTGAATTTTCGCAGAAAATTCATTTAAACAAACTTTTCCAAAAAAATTTGTCCTAAAATTTTACCCAAAATTTTTGAGCTCAACTTCCAGACTGGGAAGATTTCACTGAAAGATTTCAAGCAAAAATTTCATCAAAAATCTACCGATCTAATTTTTCCAAAAAATGTTATCCAAACGATGGCCAGTAATTTCACTCAACAGAAATGAGATTTAAATTCACGAAAAATCATGAAAATTTGCAAGCTCTTGTTCAGACAAAAATTCCATTCAAAATTTCATCCGTCTAATTTCCCAGCAGAGAGCCGTCTAAAAAAAGCTGAATGTTAATGTGTTGCTAAGGAAATTTATATGATAACCGCAAGGAACGAAAAATTTCATAGCAAAAAGAAAAAAAAATTGCAGCAGTTCAATTAAAAAAAAAAAAGAATACTGGAACAAGTGGAAAAAAAAAGAAAAAGAAAATAAAATGAGAGCCATCTAAGCTATCTGTTTATACAATGAAAACGCTTAGGACTTGCTAGTGTATGCATATATATGTGTATGTGTGTGTTGTGTTTGTACAAATAATTACAGGATATTGAAACTTTACAAACATAGACACAACGACAGCAACGATTTTGCTCATAAAATAAAACTGACAATAATTATCTGTAACAGTTCGCCTAATCTTCAGGGCCATCAAAATGAAACAAACAACGGCTGTACCAATCCAGCAGAATGTTTAAAACTCTCGGACAGTCTGCAAAATGATGCGATGGTACACAGTAAAGGTACGTGAACGAGTTTACAAACATGCACTTCCGGTGAAAACAGCCAAAGCGTTTGGCTAATAAATACCTACAACAAGGTTCACTGCAGCTACAACACGAGAAATTTTGCAAAAAAGTTGGCCTTCTGCTCAGCATTTGCTCGAGAAATGCGGTAAAATGCTTGAAAGCTGGGCAGGGAAAAAATAAATTGGCAATATTTTTACAGATGGACCAACCCGTAGCCAGTAAGTCAGTACAAAAAGCTGCTCATTGTAACTGATAAATTACTCAAACAATAACAGCAGAGATGCACTTTATACAGGTTCATCATAGGGCGGTGGCCCATCTTCCATTTCGACGCCAGTGGAAGTGAATTCGATGGACGATTCGTCGTCTGAGCAGCTTGGTCGCGAGGAAGTGTGCCAGGAGTGAGACAAATGAGTTGACGGACCCGGTTCCTGCGGGCACCTGCAATATCTTCACCTTCTTTCAGGAAATAAAACTCAACTCGCAAAATCCGGTGCAAAATTTTGAGGCTTTTTTCTAGTGAGCGACCACATCAGAAACTCCGCACTAGTGACTCAGGCCATCTTTGTTGTTAGTGAAGAAGAATGATAAAGTGAGAGGGGAAATTAGCAAACGAAAGAAGAATCATGGCCTACGAGTCAAATGAAGCTATCTGGACAGGCTGTTCTTCTGAATATGGCGGCGGAGGTGGCAATACCACACGGTCAATGCTTTTTCCTTCCATATATTCGGGCGAATCGATTGTAATTATGTCGCTAGGTCGTTCTGAAATTGCAGATTTACGAGGTGAAAATGAACAACAATTTTCACAACCGTCAAAATGGCAAGCTTTTGCCCACTTATCGGTATAAAATTATTCCACAGTAAGCTCAGACACCTTCAAAACGCAGTGGAATCAAGTAAAATGGACAGTAGTAGCATTATTTTCGAGATGCATTTTCAAATAGCAGTGGCATGCAAAAGGCGCATTGCAAAGGTAACAAAAAATACACTAGCAAGAAGCAGACACGCATTCTTTGCGCTCCAAAATTGGGTACTTTTGAAAATTCTGCAAAATTAACTCTCAGCAAATCTCTTCCTTGTGGCTTATTGCGCTGCTTGTTCTTTCCAAAAACAGAGTGTTAGCGAAGATTAAAATTTTTGTTTATCTTGGCATATTCGGTATATTTTCACAGTGATTGAATTTTGTGCGGCTTTGCGTGAATCGCTTCATTTATTCCTTTGAAAAACTGGGAATGCCGCGCGCAAAAAGTATGGCATGCCCAGAATTTTGTTTTTTCCTCCCCAAACGACGAACAAAGCAAGAGGGTAAAATGCATTACAAAGGACAAAACCAGAGGGTAAAATTCATTCTGCCGTCAGAGTCATTCGCGAGGGGTGACCATCAGGTGTAGCATTCTTTCAGTCATAGCATCCGCCGAAAATTAGTTGCTCCGCCTGGTACTGGCGTGGTATTAAAACCGTTGGCAGGGCTATCAGCGGCCCCTCGTTCGAGGGTTGCTCACAAGTAGGTCGATGACTTTGGTTTCCTGGCATATCTCAAATGGACGAATGGTAAAAGGACTGGTTATCCCACCGATGAAGTGAAGCCCTTAAGCACCAGCACAAGGACAGCATTACTGGGCACTGCACTACGGCCATCAGCAACACTTCAAAGTATACTGACACTGTGTTGCTTCCAGGAGCGTTGTGAACGTTCTTCGTTCAATAAAGTTAAAATTTGTTTTAAAAAAATCATTTGCTTCAATTGCCCGTTCAACAACTTGCAGCACTATAATACTATTAGTTTTGATGGAAAATTCAACCTTGCTTGCTCATATCTGAGGAATCGTTCGGACTCTTCATTGAACTGCTTTCAGGTGATGGTTGACATTTGCTGAAATCCATGCTGACCCATTCATCCTGAACTTGTGTACTTCCCTCCGAAGCACTTGACAGCTGGCTTTCATCTTTCATCGATGACTTGTCCTGCAAAAACCAGTGTAGATGACGAAAAATCAAAAACAGGATACTGGACGAAAACGTTACTAGGTTCATCAAGGGCGAGAAACAACAAAAAACTGGCATCAGCAAAAAAATCACAAAGTGCAGTCTTACAAAGGACCCGCTGTTTTTTCGCTATTTCTCCCGTCAAAAAGAAAAAAAAAATTGATAAATGAAAAAGCAGAACTAACGTCAGTAAGCTTTTTTGTGATTTCGTGCAATCTTTCATACAACAGAACGGCACTATCCGTTCTTTCAAGGCTACCACATGATTTTGTCTCGCTGCTATGCGATTCGAACGCGAATGAGTTCTGACTCACATCCTGCAAAACAACTGACACTGTACGCAAGCTCTCAAACACTGAAATTCACAAATTTGCAGATATGTAGTAGGTGTATCAAATCAACATCAGCCAGGAGAAATAAGGGCTTGGAAAATGCCAGTGAGACCGTGCACAGCGCGCGATGGAAAGATTTAAGGGCATGCAAGCTCAGAATCGAGCGAAATGAAGCAAATGCAAAAAAAAAAAAA